ATAATGTAATAAAGAGTATAATAATGTAACAATAGCTTAACTTCTAGAGCAGATTAACATATACTTTCTTGCGCTTCGACATTACGCATAAAGAGGTCGCGAACATCCTTCATTTTGTAGTCAAATAGCAATCTCATATCTACGATTTAATAAAACAATCATCCATATATAGGTGAAAGAATTTTTAAATAATTAATTCTCATGTTAAAATGTTAAAGGAAATAAATTTGAAAAGGATCCATGAATTTTAGTGAGATTACAAAAATAAATACTAAGTTTTAACTAATTTGAATTAACGTGTTAAGAATGTCTTAAAATACTATAAATGTATAATAAATTAACTTACAATCGTTTCAACAATGCACCAGAACATCTCTCAAACTTTGATTCTACGAAACTTGACGTTCCATATTTTTTTAAACAAATTCGAAACCAGCAAAGTGTTGATTTAAATTCCCTCTACGTTCCCGTAAACTGCGCCAAATTTTTATTTTAATTTTTATTGTCGTTCGAGTGTTCTTTCGCTAATTTATTCTACAGAATCAAATCGTATTCGTCGAAAGTCGAGTGTTTGTTTAAAGCGTGGCGAAACTATCTCTGAATCGTCGATGCTTCATTTTATTTTTGCCTTTATTGGGAACGATGGTGCCGCGATCCCGGTTATGCTCGGACGAGAATTTCAATAGAACCGTGTTACGACGATATTAAAAATACCATAGAAACGTTTCGAGTCTTCAACTGTGACGTCGGAAGCTTTCCCTGTATATCCCCCTCCCCGTGTGAGATACAAAAGCTCCCGCGGAATTTTCGAATTTAAATATCACTGAACATCCAGCCAGGCACGGATCCTGAATCACGCTCGGATATGAAGAACTCCGGGGCTTTAAACCAGTTGATCTTGCTATGCATTTATGGATGTCGAAGGCCCGAAGGACGCTCTATATCGTGCGGTTTCCGCTCGCGACGAATCGACTTTTCGTTGCCTGTCCGTGTCCGCGCTTTCGTCGATTTTTATCCGCCTTGGCCTTCCTACGCTTTCTTCTGTCCGATCTCGCGTGCACTGTATTAGTGGATCTCCGGATGATCGTCGATTATAGTCCCTCGGCCCGGGAGACCGGTTCTCGAGGAAGCTCACGAGGAAACAGGAACATCGCGGGACTTCCCCGCGATTTCCCAAAAGACCGTCCACGATAATTCAACGTTCCGCGTTCAGCCTTCGAGCTGTCTGCTTCGGGACATCGAAGCCATGGTTCAGCGTCGGATCTCTGATTCTTTTCGAAATTTGATACGGGGGCGAGTAAGAGGATAAGCAACGTTCGCGCACGCTATAATATCACGTTGGACCACTGGTTTGCGATCTTTCTTTACCCACGATCCTTATCTTTGGATGTCGCGTTGCTCTACCACGCAAAGGAATTGCTAGAAATATGAGATACTCTTTATTTTTTAACTTGGAGACTTTCAGAATAGGGCAAATTAAAAAGTTTTGATGAATTTTAGAGAACTTCGTGTGAAATAAGCTGTGCACAAGTATGAATATTGCGGACCTTACGAAATCTATAAATTTTTCACTTTTTTTAAGTGCAATTTTTTAAAATCTACACCTAGTACCTGTCGATTTTTCTTAAAAATTTGTTTTTCATTTTTAATAAATTTGCTTGACGCTTTACAGAAAAGTTGTCTAATACTTTTTTGTCGGTGCCCGTGAGCACTAGTTTAAAAATAAATTTCAATGAAATACATTCACTATTGTAGAAGTTACGGTCGTTTGAAAATTGGACCATTTTTATGCGATTTTTCTCAATTTGCTGGGTTAAGGAACAACTTTTCGGATATTCTTGCAATTTCTACATATTCCACGCAGAAATACGCGTTGTTTGCATTTTTAAACATTAAAATCCTCTAATCCGTTAATGAGTTATGATAAGCAGTACGTATACTACAGCTTAGAAGTCTAAACCACTTATTAAAACCACTGTTTTGATCGAAAGTGTTTCTTTGTAAATTATGAATTTTTGTCTGCTTCTGTTGTCTGACATGATTATAGGTACATGCTTAATCTTAGTTATTCGTTAAAATAATGATTACTGTAATGATGTAATTTGATGACAATATATTCGATATTTTATTTATAATTATTAATACAGTAAAATTAAGATTATCTGGTATACTCACCGGACAATTGGACTATAACTACATATGAAGTGATAAAAACGAGAAATATAATCACAGACGAGGTATACAAGTAGACTTTATATCCCCTGTATTTTTTTGGATTATTTTTATGGGATTTTCCTCAATTTACGGGGTTAAGAAACAAGTTTTCGAAAAGTTTTAGAATTTCTACATATTCTTCACCAAAATACGCGTTGTTTGCATTTTTAAACATTAAAATCCTCCGATTCGTTAATGAGTTATGACGTTTTCAATATACGCATGAAATTTCAGGGAAACGTATCAACGTATGGTCAGACATTACATTTTCGGTAATGAATTTATTTCTCGAAAGTGCGTAGGATTTCGAGGGTGTATCTATTCACCAAAAATGATTGTAATTGACCCCTGCAACCAAAAATAATTTTTCTAGAATGATTTGAATTTGTTTAATTCTGTCGAAAAATTTGTCCAGCTTCCTGAATTTTTTTCTCGAAAAGGTTGTGTTTACTCACCAAAAATGATTGTAATTGACCCTCGTGCTCGAAAAAAATTTTTTCAGAACGAAACTTTTAAATAACAAATAGCCTGTATATCTCCTCTGTGTCTCCACTTTCGGTACCATTTGTACCATATTATGTACATTTCCTCGCATTGTTGGAAATAATAATGCCATTTAAGGGGTCATTCTACCTTGTAGGCACGAAAAATACATGTTTCTTTGTGAGTTTTGTTTGCGGGCTATTAAAGAGCGATTAATTCCTTGTTTTGTAGATACATTTATTATATATTTAGCTATATTTACGAATTTTTGCAACGCAAAATATCTATTGATTACGCTGTTTTTGTTGATCAACAAACAATAGTTTTTACGAACGGCGCCCGACTGCGTATGTGATATCTTGCGAACAAGTTATGCGAAATCCAAAAACCAACGATATTCTTAATATAGATGAGTGTTGTTATAGCATGAACTAGGATCTTTTCAAAAAAACAGAAAATAGCAAAATGGCAGCTATTTTACGAAAAAATACTGAATATTTTCATATATTCGGTAGATTTTATTAATAAAAGAAAAAGTATTGCATATATAGCAATTATCCTAGTTCATGCTATAGGGAGTCCAGTTCTAAAGATATTGTATAAATTTCATGTTGATATCTTGAATAGTTTTCATGTTATCGTCTACGCCGTGCCGAAAAATGTAGTTTCGAGAAAAACAGCTTTAAAGTTTCACGTTCAGCTATAACTTCGTTAGTTTTTCAAATTTCAATTTAATATTTGGTAGATATATTTTCGAGACTACATGCTAAAACAAAGTGCAAAAAAAATTCAATTTTTTAAATCTCACAAGGTAGAAAGGCCCCTTAAATGAACCCACTGTATTCCCATGTATGTAAATTCTTTTTACCCCATTCTATATCGTAAATACAATATGGCCGCTAGAGTCTCAGTTTGCAAATTTCACACCGTCGCTGTCTCGAGCGTCGAAAGCATCTTGGTTATCGAGACAGCGGAAGGGGGAGCGGTCAGTTCCATTTTCCGATGCGCGTGTTTCCTTCGCCGGCGTGTTGAAATATTACCGCAATACCGGTCGGGCGAACGTAAAGAAAAGTAAACGCGAAATCCAATCGACCAATCCTATTTTCTCGCTTCTGTTTGCAGATTACCTCGATCGAGCGGAAGGAAAACGACGCCCGGGGTCCCCGCGTCGTGTCGCCGCTGATTTATTCTCAGCGTTATGGAAGCACCAGGACGCGGCGTAGAGGGCATAAGCAAATTACCGGATCGAGCCTGACCGTGTTAATCGGCTTTCACCGAGTTTCCATCGTCGCGCCGAACGGGACGAACAATTATTTTTTATCGAAGATGGGAGAGACGAGCCAACGACGAACGTTCGAGCGTGTTCGACCGCGCCTCGGATCGGGAACGCTCATTCCGGAAATCCGGTTCGTCGGAACGAAGCCTTGAAATTGCCGTTCGCCACTTCCTCGTCGGTTGCGGTTCCCGCCGCGTTTCATTCTTTCCCGCGTGGCCCGGAGACGATGGGGTAGCGCGGAACTCCGGCGGCTTTGCGATTCAGCTGCTACGAAAGTTTAAGCGACTTATGGGAGACACTTTTGAAATTCACTCCGCGGCGTTCCTCAAGTTTCCATTTTACCCGGTAACCGGAGGGAAAGGGGCCTTGTAGCCGGAAGTGCTCTCGGCGGATGTCGCAGTGCCGCGGCTTCCCCTCGAGACGACGTATCGTATTTAATTGATCGACGCGAAAGCTATCGAAAGGGCCCGTTTAAAAATCGCACGATGGATTCTTTAATAAGGTTCGACGCTGTTCAACATGCGTCTATAAACATTTCTTAAACGCGGAGGGCGATATACCAAGGGGAACTAATATCCCAGAAAATATCTCGAACATCGATTTTATCCATAGAATTCTGGGCCGCGTTCCAGTCAGGACGTCTTCTAGAAAAATGACAGGAGCGTCTCGCGCGCGATCGAACGCCCGATTCCGAGAGATCTTCCCGTGATCCGGTCCGTTTTCCGAGGGGTTAATAAAAATCGACGCCCGGACGTCGATCCCGTGACAACGATCGATCGTACCCCGTACGAGAGAAGGCTCTCGCGGAAAGATGCTCGAACGTTCGAACCGTCGATAGCGTTCGCCAAATGGAGTGTGTCGAACCGTGGCTCGCTCGCAATGGGGTGTTCGACGTTCCCGGTGCTCATTGTTACGCAATACAGTCGGACTCGCGGAAGGAAACCGTCGACGATCGTCGCGAGAACAAGTCTTCGGAAGAGAATGAACGGGACACGAAGGAACGAGGAATAGAGGGAAAGAGGATTCGGGTGATTCTGAGAGGTCCTGTACTCGCTGGAGAAACCGACGATGCGAACGGCGCGAGATTAACCATCGGGAGAGAGGTCGAAGAAGATTAGAGGTCCACTCTTATCTTCCTATTTTTCTTTCCTCCCCCCGACGGGTCGGTTCTTCCCTATCGACGTAGCGTCCCGACAAATGCGAACGGCAGGCCGTCCCGGAGATACCGTTCGACAAATGTGATTCAGACGCAGGGACTGGTTGATCCGGCAGAAAGGGGGAAAAAAATAGAGGATGGAGAAGGACAACGCGAGACATTACAGGGCTTACGAGGGCTTCAAGCCCGCGAATAATGGCAATACATCGTCCTTGAAGAGGTCTACGTCGGACCGCTCGAAGACTCACGCATCGAGACAAGTGAGATGCCTCTGCTTCGGGGGAGTGCCGGACAAGGCCAGCCAGCACTCCTTCCTCAAGGGGTTTATTATAAACCTCGGTATATGCGCCCTTCTAGTGGGCTATACTTTACTGGGCAGCTTCATCTTCCTCGCCATCGAAGGCGGCAGCGACGTTGGGATACAACAAAGGACCCTGGCCACCACAATAGCGGGGAATCAGCCTACCAGACGGAACGCGACCGCTTGGCTCAAGCAGGTGAGTGTACAAATATTAATTCCTGATCGACGGTGTATCTGGCTCGAAGGGAATTCGCGGGAAATATAAACAAACACGCGACAATGACAGATGCTGTCTTTTCTCGTTGAACGAGTACGGGGATGACGACTGACGGAGGGGAGGATTTTTAATGAAACGAGGCTTAAAGTGCATAGTAAAAATTTCTATGGTTATTATTAGACTTATTATTAGTTTATGCATTTATGGGAAATTTTAATCCTCAAAAAACTACAGAATGCATTTAATATGCAAAAATATAAGAAATACTTAAAGTAAGATACGAATTATTATATTTAGGGGTTCAGACAGCCCTCTGCGAAGCTTCCGTTTCATTAATTCTATTAATAAAAATGTGAATTTGCATAAAGATCCGCAGTCTAGTTATTATATTTGGAAAAAGAACGTGTACGATTTATGTATCCTACATGGTATGTGTTTGCAGAATGAGTGTACAAAATCTTGAAATCTAAGGAAATATCATGCAGGAGTTTGAGGATAAAATGTACACTCGAGCTGACTTTAATTGCACAAAATTATAAAAACTAGTCTCTTAGACCATTTTTGGTTTTTACGATTTCTGTCGCTAGCTGAAACTTGCTATTTACTTGCAATATTATTGCATTTTTTTAAAAGAAAATTGAGTAATGAATCTTGGAAAAATGTTAGATAAAAGCAGAATTGATGGAATGATATTGTTGAGATCAGAAAAGTATAGCATCGACAAAATTGTGTATTTATTAAATAAAAGTTGTTATGCTGTATATAATATTCTAGAAAATCAAAAAATCCTGGAAAAATTAAAAGTGGAAAACCTCGTGTCACATTTGAGTGCAAAAAGCTGACAATTTGTAAGATGCTTCGAATTTCAAGAAAACTGAAGCACAAATCACAGAAAAAAGCGTAAGAAATTAAAAGAATGACTTAAAAGCTATTTTTAGTGACGAAAATTAGTTTAATTTGAATTACCCTCATTATTCTATTAATTTCACGTTTATTTTCTTATATGTCTTTATAATAACGACCAGAAATATGTAACCTCCGTCGTTTCATTTCCATTTTAACGACAAGTAAATTGAAAATTAAGCAAATAATGCGACATCAGAGCGATCCAATCCCAATCGTCGATAGAAGTTGAAAATTTGTTTTTCATTATACCGTGCGTTTGTACTAATATGTTTCGCAGCAAAACAATTATCACGAAATGTAAATTTCAACCGGCACGAACAATAGAGAATAAAAGCACGTAACAATATTGTCGTTTAACGTTATGTGTCTCTGTTACAACGGTATATACCTGTCAGTGTACCTTTTTCATTATTGGGACAAATAAAATAATAACAATTCCTGAGGGCCAAATTTCGAGTCGAAAATATATTTCAAAATTGTTAAAATCAAATATATCCAAAGATTTATTTAGTACCCTGCCTGGTACTGATTTTATAAAATTAGAGAATATGAAAACTAACATTTCATATTTAATATTTCATTTGGATAAAATTGTAACCAGTTTCAAAATATTATAATTTGATTCTGTGGGACCAAAAATAAATTCGACGAAAGAGACGAAATTTGTGTAAACCTCGAGTTAAGAATACACTTCTATTCGATACAATACCGAATTTATAAAATTAAATATATTCAACGATATATTTAGTGTCTTGTACTGATTTTATAATATTGAAAAATATGAAAACTAACATTCCATCTTGGATACAATTATTTAACATTTGACTTGTATAAAATTGTAAACAGTTTCAAAATATTATAATTTGTGTTTAATTGCATTCTGCGAAACCAATAATAAATTCGACGAAAGGTACGGAATTTGCATATGACCAGCGTAAACTGACATTCTCGTGAAACCTACGAAAGTTTCGCTCCTTCCATCGTACGTAGAGTATCGGCGAAAGTAAATCTCGATTTATCGTCACATCTCCGGTTTGATCCCAGCTTTCTTACCTGAGATGACCTCACTGAACCCGAAGTCAATCGAATTATCTGTGCGTTCTGGCGTTAGCGCTCGTTTCAACCAAGTTTTATCGATCGAACGTCTCGTCCACTTTCTTCCTTCTATTAAAGCGAAACCATTTCCGCGAGGACTCCTGTACAGAAAAGATATTTCCGCCTTCTGGACTCGTTATTTGTCGTTGCTCTCGACGCGTCGTATTAACTGACGTTCGACGGTACTTCGAACCGTAAGCTGTCACACCGAACGTTTACAGTTTGCTGGACAAGACAATAGCTTGCCCGCAAACAATCATTTATTTAAACGGTTATCGACGACAGAGAATTTCAAATTTTTATCAAGTTTCTTGCTTGCAGGATCTATTACAATTATTTGTCAATATATAGAGAAGCAAAATTTTGTATTAATGATAGAATATTTAAATCTATGTAAATTGATATATTAACTGAATTTTGAATAAATGCTTTGATGGATCCTTTTCAAGCACAAGATTGGAGAAGCTTGCGTTGCAATATTATTCACAGCAATTTAATATTAGATTCATTGCATCAATAAAGTTTAACACAAATTGATACAAAATAATATTTACGAGTTTCGTAATTTTAAGTATGGAATCAAACCGTAAATCTAGTGTTAACATTTTCAATGAAACGAAGTTTTCCTGATTTCTCTAATATCTCAAAATATTTGCTCGTAGGTTAATTACGAGGCTCGAGCGAAGACCGTCGAGAATATATGGATAATCACGGAGAGTTTGAACATCCTTTACCGTGAGAATTGGACGCGACTGGCTGCCCAGGAAATCGCACGTTTCCAGGATCAACTGGTAAAGAGAATCACCGAGGACATGATGGCGACCCAGAACGTCGAGACCTACGTCGGAAGTTCCGCCAGCGATCCCGTCACTGAACGACGTGTACCGGAATACGAGTGGAACTTCGCCAAAGCATTCTTGTACTCTCTCACAGTGCTGACTACGATCGGTAAGTATTTAACAGAATTAACCTAAACCGTCGAAATTCGATTGCTGGCGGCTTATGAATCTGCATTCGTTCTAAGTACGACGCTAGCCACGTTGTTCACTGTGCAATAATTTCTTCGACGATATGAAGAATCAACGAAACGTTCACGATTAATTTCACTGACGACAGAGAATGTATTTATTAAATATATCCGGTGGTTCGATGCACGATAAATGCAAAAGGATTTAAGCACCATTCGTAAAAATCAAGATGGCTACGACTATCAGTCGTATTCGTAATAATATTAATTACTCGTTGCTGACAAGTACTGCTCGATTTTTAATAAATATGACAGTAGAGGTACAAAAAATACAATATTATTTAACAAAATTTCTAATAGTTTCGACAGTGCTCGTAATTTAATTACGTATTTTATAAATACCTTTTACTCGATGGAAATTATTCTATCTGCTTAGTAAACTTTTGACTTCCCACTTTGTATTGTAGCCAAACGTTTCCGTTATATCTGTACAATATTTTCATCCGTTTCACCGTCGAATTGATCACGTTCTTCGAGGTGTCGTTCCCTGGATCGTACCACGCAGCTCGAATAGCCTGATGCAGCTCTTGCGTGAGCGAATATTGGCGTCCATTGTCGTAAATTCTTCGCAACATTAATCCTTACACATTTACGATCGGATTAACGTCAGGCGAGGTCGGTGACCACTTTAATGTCAGGATATTCGCGTCTTCCAGCCGCGTTCGTGTTGACTTCCTGTCATGAATCGCCATCGATATCGTCAAGAACACCAGATTCGGAACTTTAAAACGATGGAAATAAGGCTCAAAATTTTAGTAATTTGATACGTAATTTAATTGCACATTTCTAGTTCCTTATCGAAATATGTTTTAACATTATTTGTAATTTTTCCTTCCATTCAAATATATTCGATCTTTCACTCCAAGAATGTAATATAAACAGAAATTTGCCCAATTATCAAATAATGAATTATTTCGGTTAAAATGAAATACGACGTCGATTCAATTCATTCGAGACTCAGATTCCTCCAATAATATCGGGAATCGCGAGAACCGTCCAAATTGAATTTTTTGTGTCGTCCAAACGATTTAACTTAAATACTTGAGGAATGGAAGATCTTTGATTTCGATGGCTTCGGTGATATCAGCTGTAATATCTCGTCGAATAAATCCTCTGAAGTGCCAAGACGTTCCAAGGAAATTACTTTAAACCTTATCTCCATCGTCTGAAAGCTGCAAATACGGTGATTCATAAAAATGTCTGAGTATTAATAGCGTGAGAATTTTACGATAATAATGAAATGGTAATAATTGGCAAATCTTTTTTATTCTATAATATTCTTAACTTCCGTTTTGGTTCGAAGGAATTTTCAGTTAGTCGTTTTATTGACTTCGTATCTTCGATTGATTCTCTTGATACTCCCATCGTGTCTTTCTAACTAGTTAGTCAATCTATTGTTGGAACTGGAGAGAATTTCCTCGAACTGCTTTGTAAAGTCTAAACAGGGGATCGAGACAGATCTTTGCTGTAACAGATTCCAACTTTGACAGACACTCTTGAAGCAAATAATCCGGGTATATGAAGGACTCGTGACGAGGTTCGGGGTTCTTCGACAAGAGTCAAGATATTTGGTGAACATTCTCTTCGCAGGTGGTGCTTTGACGAGAAAATTAGAGTCACCATGACTGAGAAAGAATAGAATTGCATTTACTTTTGTACCAAAACCACTTTCTTAGGTCTCTGGTTGCTGTTGGCAATCGAAGGTCTACTTGATTCGTTAAAATTTCATGAATTCTTATTTTAAATACGAGCTCATCACCAATAGTTATGTTTACTTCAGAACAATACTGAGACAACCCTTGAAAATCAGAATAAAAACAGAATAGGAAAGGTGAGAATACAAACTAATATAAATGAAAATTGTGATATGAAAAATTAACTTTGGCGTCTAAAAAAAATACTATAATGGTTTGACATTTGGGTTTGCATCTTATAGATGAAAGTACAGTTTTGTAAGAAAAATTTCCAGGAAAAAGGAATAATTATTTGACAGCTACTTCGTTGCTGTTTCAAGGTCTCGATGGTACTTGACGTGTAAATTACATACCACAAGAAGTATGTTAGATCGTACTAATTTATGTCAAGAGCTATTTATTTCGATATTTGTTTTGATACCTCGAAACACTTATGATACTTGCCAGTATTAATGAGTATGTCATTGGATTGGTCACGTCATTAGTCTGGGGTCTGTCTGGTCCTTCGGTTCGTTAGACTGTTTGTTCACGAACGTACCGTTTGTAATTGAATATGCTTCTCTTCAAAGCCACCTATTTGGCGGACACTGCAACCTTGGGTTAGAGATAACATTATAATGTTTGCGAAACATTTGGGAGCTTGGCATTAGGAATCTGCAATCCCACGGACGTTCAAATCAGATTATCCTTTCTCAATGGTTAATTCACTCCGAATAGCAAGAAAATCAAAGTAACGTGTATAAATATCACCTAAATAAAGCTACTTGTCGGTTGATACCATAATTATGTGTCACCATATCAAATTATGAAAATAGACTTTCAAACTCTTTTCGAAACTTTTTGGAATTTCAACGATCGTTTCATGTTTCCCTAAATTTTATCTTCGAGCCATTTCATTAACAGACGTCTTAAATTAACATAACACGTAATAAATTAACAAAGTCCATTGTGTGTTAGAGCTTTAATCCAGAGTTTACTTAATTACCAAAACAATTAATATATTTTGTTCATGATGATTCTGTGCAAAGATCGTGTTCCAATGAAAATGTAGAAAACGTGGATGAACTCAACGCCTCTCTTTTGGTCATCTTTTTAAGTTTAATGATATTATTTAGTACGTGTTACATAATAAATTAATGTCTCACGTGCATTATTAAGTTCGCGTAACGTGTTTACGCTTAATGCAGTTCCCTTATCTCTATGCTGTCCTAGACGCGATGGGCATTGAAATTCTATGCGGCCCGGTGGCTTCGTATCAAGAAAACACAGCGTCCCTTCGTAAATACAACACGGAATGGCAGAGAATTTTACGTTCGAACGATTCCCGATAAAACGTACCAGTTTCGCGCGTGCAAAACGCGACTGATACCCGACCAAGGGGAATTGGACACGTGGAGCAGGGGCGGAGGAGGGAGGGGGGAAAAAATCGTGCAGAAGCAACAAGAGTCGGCCGGCTGCTAGCCCGAAATGGCGAAACAGGGGGATCGGGTACGGCGAGCATCAATTTTTAAGGCAAACAAAGTCCAACATTAACGTGTAATGGCCGCGGCGTCGACCGAGCTTCCGTTGTCCTGTTTAAATATCGAAACGCTAGGCGGCACGATGACCGCGAATCGACAATTCCAAAGCGTTCGGTTTACGGGCGTTCGAACCGAGTGACGTCACGTCCGATCGTTTACTCTGGTTATTACGGAAACAGATTGGAAGTCTATGAGTTTTGTGGATATTACGAAAAAAAGAAGACACCGGTGCACGAGGGGCGAAACTAAAAAAAAGTAAGAATGGACGGAACGAGAAACCGAGAGAACGTCCATTGGTGAACAAACGCGGGGATACGCGGGTCAGCTTATCGAATTATCGTTGCAATATATGCTCTTCTTATACTCTTTTTCTGCCTTTCTAATGCATCGACAATTTCTGTTGCGTAAATTCAGCGTGCTACTGGCCGGGAAGCTCTTAGCGCTAGCTTTGTACAACAGGATGCTGGGGAGATTGCCTCCGGATGGAATTTGAATTTAGTGATTAGAATTTATTGGAAAAGTTGCTTCGCTGTTGGTCAAGATTTCCTATCGCATGAGCTAATGATGAATGACGTAACTATCGCGAAAATGCATTTTATGGAATGAAACATGGGTTTCTCTAACGTCGCATGCATCATTCAGGGACGATTTGTGTAACTCCGTGCAGTACGTATAATACAGTTTAGAAGTCTAAACCACTTACTAAAACCACTGTTTTGAACGAAAGTGTTTGGTGTAAATTATGAATTTTTGTCTGCTTCTGTTGTCTGACATCATTATAGGTACATGCTTAATCTTAGTTATTCGTCAAAATAATGATTACAGTAATGATTTAATTTGGTGACAATATATTCGATATTTTATTTATAATTATTAATACAGTAAAATTAGGATTTTCTGGTATACTCAGGGGACAATTGGACTATAACTACATATGAAGTGATAAAAACGAGAAATATAATCACGGACGAGATATACGAGTAGATTTTATATCCCCTGTATTTTTTTAGATTATTTTTACGGGTTTTTTCTCATTTTACAGAATTAAGGAACAATTTTTCAAAAATTCTTAGAATTTCTACATATTCTTCGCCAAAATACGCGTTGTTTGCATTTTTAAACATTAAAATCCTCCAATTCGTTCATGAGTTATGACGTTTTGAAGATTCGCACGAAATTTCAGGGAAACATATCAACGTACGGTCAGACATTACATTTTCGGTAATGAATTTTTTTCTCGAAACTGCGTAGGATTTCGGGGGTATGTCTATTCACCAAAAATGACTGTAATTGGCCCCCACAACCGAAAATAATTTTTTTAGAACAATTAGAAATTTTTTAATTTCGTCGAAAAATTTCTGCACTTACTGAATTTTTTTCTCGAAAGTGCGTAGAAATTCGGGAATATGTGTAATGACCAAAAATGATTGCAATTGACCCCTGCAACTAAAAATAATTTTTCTAGAATGATTTGAAATTTTTTTTTTCGTCGAAAAATTTCAGCATCTAACCTCTGTCGATTTTTCTTTAAAATTCGTTTTTCATTTTTAATGAACACAACCATGGGTAATATACTAAACAAGTTATTAATAAAAAAATATAAATTCAATTTTGTAAGCAAAAAGGACGATATAATTATGCCATGTTTACAGATGGAAATAAGTTTAATACTTATGAAACATGGAACTCAACATGAAAAATTCACGA